CCCCCCCCCCCTCATCACTTTTCTAATGGTCCGTCCCTAAGCCTAATTAAACCGCAAACGTAACTACGTTAAACTATCGTTTTTAATAATACAGTTGAAGCCCTATAAACGGATTCCTCTCTTAGGTGGACAAACCTTTTAAGCCGACACAACTCTTTGTCCTATTGGTAATAGAACACTACTGTTATAACCCTCTCCTTTAAGCGAACACATTTGTAAGGTCCCAATAAAGGTGTCTGTTTACTAGGGGTTCAACTGTGCCTATAGATACATCAGTTCTAACCCGGTAAGGATTCATCCCTTATTGCTTCAAATGGAGGAAATTGGAAACTGAGGAAAATATGGGGACAAACTACATGCAAACACCTGTCTCCCACACATGCAACGCCAATAAACGCCGTAGTTATTATTCAGTACCGTCAAGTTTTCTTAACTCTGAACCAAAAAAGGATGGACCCCTCCCTACATGCAGGATCTCTGTAAAGACCAAATTAGAACTGTTGGAGCTATTCACTATCGGTTCAAACGAGTACAAGATTGTTGAGCCGACAATGGTAGACGATGTTGGGCAATGTTGCCACGTTGGAAGAAAGTTTCAAACAAAGTCATGTCCGATCCAACATCTTCCAATATCAGCCAACATACCCAACATAGTGTTCAAACGACCACACCCGCTCCCCCCTCCCGCCACACACACCTTCACGACCCCCACATTGTTCAGTACTATTTTTAACCAGCTATAAATTCATATGTAAATGCATGTGGTCGCTCGGGTGAGTTGATGAACTTGGGTGGATGCTTCTATTAAGCGCTTTGTCGGAGAATGTGTGGAGAAGTTTAAAAGGGCCGCGTGCACTTGACTTTTTCACTTTATCAGGAACTTGAGGTTTTTCTGACCTTGGCAGCAAAATTCACACCTTAGTCTGTTAACACAAAACTAAGCTTCACACATCTAAAAGCCGGAACACAACATGTGCAAAAATTATCGCAGTAATTTTATATAAATCAGGAAAGCTTCATACAAACTACGGTCTTCTTTGAGATGACTTCTCATTTCCGACATTTCTGACAAGAAGCCAGATTGGAGTTGAATTTGTGTGTGTAGAACTGGGCCGAAAAAAAGGTTTGTGTCTTAGTGTCTTACAAATATGTGGCTGAACTCGTGAATCATATTATATATAAGTTTTGTTTGTAACACATAGAAAAGAGTGCTCAATACTTAAAATTAAGTAGCGCAAATTTAATTTAGTTCTTGCTTAAAATAGTATTTTGTTCCTAATATAGTATTTAAATAACAAAATACTATTTTAAGCAAGAACGTAATTATCATTGACACATTGTCCGGTGTGCTCATTATCAATATTAGATACAGCAAAATGTTGTTTAATCTTGAAATAAAGTTATCACGACGCAGTATTTTACGCTTTTTCATACTCATTTGAAAGAGATAACGTATGCTATAGCACTATAGTAAACATTTATCAAAATTACTATTTGTGGAGAAGATGAGCAGGTTTGACTTTGTTTAAAGATAAAGAGCAGAGCCCAGTAAATAACTTTAAAGCCAAACAGGTTTGATTTCGCATAAAATTTTCATCGATACTGAAATGGTTTTAAACGTCGACGACGTCCCTAGTGAAAGAGTCGTCCATATAATATTACATATTTTGTTGATATTTGTTTTAAATGCTATATTTCAATTACAATACGCCAACGCTTTCTCGTCTACATGTCAGTTATTGATAACATTTTGACTTTCGCACTAGTATGCACTATGCACATCACTATATATGGTAGACGGAGTGCGCAAATGTGTCAGGACACCGGAAGTTGTTACCACCATCGTCTCCAACGCCGCAAAATATGCAAAACACAACCCTTTTGCCGCGCACTGTCGAGTACTTCTGGTGGAATAAGCATTATCACGGACATTATTATCTGTTGCGCAAGTATGCATAATGTCAAGGAGGTTTATATGAAGGTTGAGGTGAATTATGAATTATTACCAGTGCAATATCTGGTATTGAATGTCATTTTAGGAAGCGCGATGTTTTTTGATTGCTTCTTTATAATTATGTAGATATGCGTGATCGTAGATAACTTAATTAGCAGATCAATTTACCAACCAATTTGTTCCTTGTCACGATACACGGACGCGGGGCGGGACGCCATAACACACTGATAGGCGTGTTCCCTGGCGAGTTTACCGTTTGCCACACAGGCTGGGTTGGATACCGCGCAACGCATATATGTTTTGAGAAAAAAAATATATTGTGGAAAATGCCAAATTATAGATGCCAAGTAGAAATTCACGCTTAATTCGCCGGTGTGGAAGTGGAAACAAATCGTCTGTAAAGGCTGGTCATTTCATTAACGAGGGAAGGGAATATGGTCACATCAAGTGGCCTCGTCTTGGGTAATCGAATTGTCACGCAAGGATTTTTGAAGGAAATATGTGCTTTGACCAAACTGTACTTTGTTCAACGGAAACTTCGATAACGTAAACATGTCGCTTTGGTTTTCATCGAAGAGACCCCAGGAACGTTGTTTTCCTATCTCCCCCTCCCCTCTGAAATATCAATTTATACCTCGTCTTCTCTCACTGAAATACCATTTCAACAGATGTACGGTTGAAAGCAAATTACAACAGATATATATGATTCGCCCCAGTGCTAGTGTGTGTTACGTGCTTTAAGACAGACAAGTACCAGACGTACTATATAGACAACAATGGCTGTGATATTGACCACGTGCATAATTACTGGAGAGTGCACACATATAGTCTTGAATTCAATTTTTCAAACTTTAACCTGAAAACCGCAAAGAAAATAAAGCCGAGTCGTGACTGGGTATCACGATAAGCTTCAGTAATCTTCTAATGTCTATAGATGTGTATATCATTATATGCATTAATTTGCATAAATATATCTCAAAGTCCATATATATATATATTCATGTGCAAAACACAATAATTCAAGTGTCACTATCAAATTAGGCGAACTGCGCCGAATTGAGCATTGAATTTCAGAATTGTTTAAATTTGTATTAGAACATCATATACTCAAACATTGTTTGCGTTATGCCTTATGGTCGCTATTCACTAAAAGAAAATTCCTAATATTATTATCTGCTCTGATGAACACGTCGAGAGCTCTACAAGACAAACCGTATTTATTAATGCAATCTTACAACTGCAAGGAATATAGTTTAACTATATACACGCGCGCGTCGATAGTATATAAACCAAGCTTATACTATAATATAGACATGAGTGATTGACTTGTTATATTATCAAGAAAATTTTCTGATCCTGTAGATTGTTAATAGCACTATACATGTCTAAGACTAAGACATAATTGCATATGTAATTCGAAGGAGGTTTACAACATTGTTGTCTTTGACTTATTTGTTATGAAAGCAGCCTTTGCAGGGAGTGCCTTTTTTAGTAAAGGCTTATAAGTAGCTATATTATAAAAACTGAATAATACTTTTGTATATTTTAAGGAGATTCCGGCTTAAAAAAACAGTATAATAAATAATTGTACTTCTCTTTTCTTTGTCAAGGGGCCGAGCTAAGCCCATCCCACATAATTGCACACAGTCACCGATTAAAGATGTTTTATTCACATATAATTTTCTATAATTTGAATAACCACGACATAAATGTTTCGTGATTGCACATTATAATCAGAACCAGGTCGGTGCTAGTATCGTTGCATCGGCGCTTCTTTGATGTACTGCTTGGGTACTTCATCGCCACTTATCAGCTACACGGATAAGGATTAGGAGACACTTACTCCAGCATATGCGATACAACTATGAGTTACTGTACTGCATCTATCGAGCCGTAGACAACGTCTCGTGTATGCCCGTTGGGAAGTGCAATCTCACGAAACGTACGTAGTTCAAGAATCTGCGTCGGTATTGACTGTCCAACGTTTCCAATGAGGTCGGATTGCTGTCAGGTTAGTGCAAATCTTACTTACGCCAGCTTAAAAAGATCGCGTGACAATGCCAAAGCATAATTTCCTGTTTGCGTTACGTGTGGATATACTTTCTTTCTACAGGTCATAGATATGTGATTAAAATTATTGCATCTGCATGCAGCTATTTGGCGCATACAAGTGGGGAAAAAGCACCGTTGCATAAACCGATTGATTTACTGTTCCTGTAGTCAGTTGCGTTTCTTGTGAACCCATAGTGTAAATATAACTCGTCATAATTATAAATATGAAGAGCGGTATATCATTTTAAGGGTTTTCTAAGAACGGTTGAGAGAACGTCTTTTAGATTAAAACGAGCGACAATTATGCAACGCTCGTTAGTGGAATCTGAAATCAGAAGTACGTCTATATTTGAATCAAAATACTTATCCGTTCAAACAGTTCAATGTTCAATAAATAGAATTCTTTCTATTCGGAAATGAAATACTTTTATAAGGAAAATTCTTTCCTCTCTGTGCAAATAAGCAAGGCTTTCTGCGCCGCTATAAATACATTCGCTAAAGAGTTATGTTCTATGACTTAGATAACAAGTGGATTGTATATACAAAACCTTATGGCTCTTTGAAAAATTTCGAGGAAACTTTTGAACGTAAATATACATTCATGTTAGTAAACCCAACACGGCTTTGTCAACATAAAGTTGACTGAAACCGGTTTGATCATGCGTATTCAACGAACCGGGTCTATCAGTCAATACATCAGTCGACTGGGGGGAGTAGAAATGCAAATCCATATTTCAGTGCAAAGATCACATTAAACCACACATAAGGGTCCCCACATCATCCTTGTGCAAATTCCTGTAAGCTTTACTGTAGTTTGGGGATGGTTTGCTTTAAAACGGACTCGAACACATGTGCGTGACTACGCCAACCTTGGCATTGTCGCGAAACTATATTTCCGTAAACATAATTGTGAATGAAGAAGAAGCACTTCAGATGCAAATTGAAAAGATTGATCTTATTTTGAGAAATAATCCCCGACTACTTGGGGTTCTATTCTGATGTTCACCACAGGTGGGATTGAACAAGCACCCCTGCCAATAACTGATGCAATCTGGTCGGTTATAACATTGTTGGTTTTCAGTTTGAATGCATGGTTATAGCTGATGTTGGATCGGGTTTGTTCATCCAACATGGTCCAAGGTTGTTGGGCCAAAAATGTTGGCCACTGTTCGACTGGTTTAAACGACCCTTTAAGTATACAATATACAAGCAACATATCACTCAGGGAAAACGAAAATTCTTGGAGAAAGCCTTGTGTAAGTACAAACATCTGATTTAAAGAAGAAACAATGTGTCCATTTTGGCCTTACAAAGTCCGAATACGACGTTTACTTTTGTATCTCATTATGCTTGCGTTTATATACTTGTGTGAACCAGACTGTATATAGTTACAATTATATTCTCAATTATCGATCGCTAAACAAAAAGAGCTAATATAAAAAGTTGCAGGTAGATGTATGAGTGAGTTCGAAAATTGAGGAAAATATTTTAGTATAATATTAACTGTATAAGTGACTGTAAATAATAAGATATTCTCTGCTATACAAAGTATAATGTATATAGCCATTGCGTGATGGGAGATGTATATGTATAGCGGGTTCATGTCATACATGGCTCATCAAAACTTCGTCGGTGCAATGTAATGACAAAGGTGCATGGGAAGATTTTATTCTTTGAATAATAATATATAGGACGACGATCTCACGACAAAATTATTTTAATCAGAGCAATTGCATGATTAAAGATCTGAAGTTAAATGGGCTATTAATTTAACTCATTCTCAACCGCCCTCCATGCAGTTGGTATTATACGATTCAATTGTCTCTAATGTAAATATCAGCAAGTATTGATCCCCCTTTAAAACGACGCACACCATTGGAATCCTCACAAAATAACCTGTTCAACGATGGGTCTTGATGCCGTCAAAACATTACACAAACTTACAGGACAATTCAGTTGTTATATCTATATACAAAACACTTAAAACAATTGTGGTATTGGAATACCCTGAGGGGCAAATTATATAATAATGATAATGAAAAATATATATAAACGTTGTTAAAGCTGCAAAAATCTAGGATTATAGACTCTACGGTACTTGAATATATTTAGATTATACCAGGAAACGTGTAGGAAAATCTCTATTGGTATAGTCAGGCTGACACATTCAATTACCATGCAGGGAACATTTAGTCTTCTTTGAATCCATATAAGCATATACTGTGATAGGAATCTAATAGATACCTGTAACTTAAACCTGGTTTACACTATGAAAGTTTCTGTGATCACAGTAGGAATTTTGCATATACTGTATAGGTATAAATTCTAAGGTTGAAGGATTTGTTAAAGAAATGTTTGAGGGAACAGACTTAGGGACCGCTCATAAAGTAATTGCTAGGGTGGGCTGGAGTGATTTGGGATGGGCCATGGAAAATCTTTGGGCAGTTTCGATGGGCCGCCAATTTTTTTGTATGTCCATGGTTGGGCCACCAAACAAAAACCCATGTCTACTCCAAAACAATAAAGATATTAATACTAAACAAAACTATCCAAATTATCAAATGCAAATGATGCTATTGAAGCCAGTACTTTATTTATACAACAACAAGAAGTAGTCGAATCACAGCAAACTGGAGAACAGCTCAGTATCGTTCAATTAAGGTGGAATTATGTATTTCAATTCAGTGCCGTGTATATTTATACAATATTCATACCTGCAAGTTTTTTTTTTATTATGAAAGTGTATTTTTCCAATTTAGATTGGGTGGGTCATGAAAAACTTTTTGTAAGATTAGATGGGCTTTGAAATTTTTATCTACATCCTAAGATGGGTAACCGAACTTATTGGCAAAATTTGTGATTTACCTCCAGCCCACCCTAGCAGTTACTTTATGACCAGTCCCTTAGTGCATGTTTAACATTGAAATTAGTGAATCAGTTCCCTTAAACATTTCTTACAAATCCTTCAAAATCGTTCTAATTTACCTATATGCAAAATTCCTATAGCTACTGTGATCAGTCTTCTTTGAATCCATATAGGCATTATACTGTGATAGGAATCTAATAGATACCTGTAACTTAAGCCTGCAGGTTTACACTATGAAAGTTTCTGTGATCACAGTAGGAATTTTGCATATAGGTATAAATTCTAAGGTTGAAGGATTTGTTAAAGAAACTGTTTGACGGAACAGACTTAGTGCATGTTTAACAGTGAAATTAGTGAAGTCAGTTCCCTTATTTCTTACAAATCCTTCAAAACAATTATAAATTACCTATATGCAAAATTCCTATAGCTACTGTGATCGGTCTTCTTTGAATCCATACGGGCATATACTGTGATAGGAATCTATAATAGATACCTACAAACTTAAGCCTGCATGGTTTACACTATGAAAGTTTCTGTGATCACAGTAGCTATAGGAATTTTGCATATAGGTAAAGGACAGATCATTAATGAGGTACGGACTAATAGCGGCTGCTTAAGCGCCATTTGTAAGCTCAAAGCCTACCTTGATCTGCTTCACGTCAGTCCGGTTCTATCTATCTATTCATAATGTAACCAGTCACTGAAAAGCCCTGATATAGGGAGTGTGCTGTGAAATATCTGTATCTGTATCTAATTATAACGGGTTTTTTTTTAAGGATTTGTAAGAAATGTTTGAAGGAACTGTTTCACTGATTTCACTGTTAAACATGCACTAAGTCTGTTTCCTCAAACATTTCTTATACAAATCCTTCAACCTTAGAATTTATACCTATGTGCAAAATTCCTACTGTGATCACAGAAACTTGGATTGTGTAAACTAGCCTTTACGTTTAGTGATTATATAATATTTATGGGTCGGTACGAACTTACTAGGAGTTCAGTTTCTGTGTCTGTCAAACTATATCAGTATATGAGAACAAAAGTTTTCTAAAGATCGAGTCAGAAATACTGCATGTTTACCGTTTTCTCTACCGGGAGGCCAATCACAAAACATGTCAAAAAATTAAAAAACTATTTAAACGCAGTTCATTTATACTGTAGTTCATTTATAGTAAAAACGTTTTTGCTATAATTAAGTCTTTTATTTGCGCTTTGATATTGTGTCGAACTTAATTTAAAATTTAACTAAACTGAAGAAAAAAAGACCCACATCCGTGCTTCTTTCGTGTAACCGTGTTATTCGGACGAGAAATATTTATTTTCTTTATTTTGCCTTATGTTGAGACTTACCGATAATATAAGTAACAACAATGAAATTGGTCGAATATAAATAACGTTTACTGAAAGGAGGATAATATCCTCGTATAGTCTACATGCAACTATATTATCAATGTCAATGATGGACCGTCCAGACAAAAACAATTTCCATACTATATTAGTATATATATGCTATGGGTTTAGCTTCTTGCTACAATATTAACAAATACAAGTATATATTAGCTATATATTACTATGTTATAAACTCGGTCTGTGTCACGCAGGTATGACATGCATGCAATAATTAAATTATAAAGCCTGCTTTCCTATACAGTATCAAACTTTCTGTGATCACAGTGAGGAATTTGCCATAGCTAAATTCTAAGTTTAGTGAAGGATTTGCAAGAAATATATGAGGAAACTGACTTAGTGCATGTTAAACAATGAGTCCCTAAGCATGCATTCACAGCGATTCCTATTAAATGTGAAAAAATTAATTATAGACGATTCCTCCGACAAAATTAGTTCGGCGGCAATTAATTGAATAAAATGTTAATTGGTCTTTTAAAATACAATCCACTTGTTTAATATCTATATACAAAGCTCTTATACAAAACTTTTGTGGTAACCTATCTTCTTCGAACACCCTGAGGGGGGAATTATTATTACCGAATTGGCGAATAAAAATTCTTTAAATTCGCAAAAATCTAGGCTATAAAAAGATAATATTTATATAGTACTTATAGATATATATCACACCACGAAACGTGTCTAGTAAAATGTAGTTATTTCTGTTAGTAATGATACCATTTATATGTGTTCCAAAAGAGAAGGACGCTTTCAGTTCTCGAGAAGGAAACATTAATTCTTTATCATGTATATACTGTTATTGATAAAAAATCTTTCAATTAATAGAAATCTATATAGCCTAGGTTTGAGAAAGAACGAAGTCCTTTATATCACACAAGGAAAAGCACTAATTCTCTTTTCATAATTGCATTTAAGAGAAAGAAGGAAGGAAGCTTTTATATATTTTATCTATATAATCTTTTGTTATTTGAAATTTACAGTTTATAAAAGCATGAAGTCCTATTTAATATCATACCAGGAAAAGTGCAGGAAAATTGTAAGCCTCTATATTTGCAATTATAATAAGAGCAGAGGACACCTTCAATTTCCAGGTGGAACATCTTCAATTCTTCAATAAAGTATCTTACAAATCTTAAATAATCATATATAGCTAATTAAAAGTTAAAATTTCCAATTTGTTTTATGCATGGCAATTCCATCCCATTTGTATGAATGCATTGTAAGCAACACTTTAAATGACTCTCTTGAAATAGATTTTCTTGTACAGTACAACATTTTGACTTGAATTATGTATAACGATTATACACTATTTATCTACAATTATTCAAGATTTTCCATGGGCATCGCGCTCGATACAATTGAATGTTGAGGGGATTTTGTCGATGGAAGTTTAGAGCGAAAATTATATTATCTTTTAGACCTGAGTGGGAGCAACAGGTGCGAAAAAAGCAAACATAGGCACTCCGTTGTGCATATTTTAAACGTTTTACACTGGGGGGGTGGGGGCAAGATTAGGAACCAGTGTGGGCTCCCATGCAGAGTACGATTTTGGTCACTCAGGGTAAGGACATGTAGATGGCTCCCCATGCAGTGTATAGGAATCGATTCCAGTGCAATTCTCCGGCTGATCACTGAGCTACACAGTCTAGTTGCTGAACATTAACAAGTTCTTTTATACATGCAGGGTTTCCTAAAAAAGTCCCCCTTTGTAAATCACTCTCGTGTGTCATTATACCTTTGCGAATCTCATTTAATTGTACATGAACGGCAGAAGTATTTACAACTTCCCTTCGTCCAAATAATTTAACACTTCGGTTACACTTTGCGTTAACGTACGAGTTGTTACGACAAATACTTGTTGCTCTGTAGTCAGTTGAAGCATTCATACTCGAACTGATGGTAAGACGAATTAGGAATTTGACATTCTTGTGTTGCTGTTCGCTTTAGAGGCTATTTTAAATTCCCTAGAGGTATAACCCATGCACGTTTAACAACAAAAGACTTCGGACTTTTGGGGGGGGGGGGGACACTCTGTATCTTAAGGTGATGCCATGCAGCTAGTGTAAGGTATATTTTGTACAATTAGGTCATGAAGAATTCTAAAGTTGGTCAACCTACACAAAGTATTATATTTTGACTTTGTCTGTGAAGGTCTGAAAAGCAAATACTAGAAGTGTCTTTGGCCCAGACGCCCCACCCCTGTAACCCTGGTTGCACTTGTAAATATTTTTCTCACACAGCGCACTTGAAATTCCGGAGATAATTTGTTCCCCACTTCAGGCCAAACATGCCGGGTTATCCTATATTAATACAGCACATGACCCAACATACGTTTTTACAAACTGCACGGAAAATCGTCTGTCTTCTAGGAAAGCCAGTCGCATACAAACTTCGCGCAAACCTAATTCGTTCTTCGCAATTAAACATTTTCTGCAGCTTTTCTTGGTTTTGTGCAAACTATCCTATAATCTATATATTAATAAACACAGGAAATCTTCTGGGAAAAAATAGGAGAAGTGTATTCAAAGTCTTTATAAATATATATACACGCTATCGGCTTTTCTGAAAATATCTTAATCCATAGTAGTCATTTTCATCCCATTTTCGTGCAATTCAATAACAATGTTATCAGATAAATCTGTTTTTTCAGCAACTTAATTAGCTAATAATTTGCCGGTTCCGAAGTGCACGAGAGGGTCACGGAATTGTGCAAAGTCTGCTTACGTGCATTAAAAGTATAATATGCTCACCACACCCAATACCGGCACGTTTGCCTGACTTAAATCGTGCATGCAGAGAATATAATGCACAACTTAAGGAACAACCAAAAAAGCTTGACTCGTGCATACAGAGAATATAATCCACAACTTAAGGAACAACCAAAAAAGCCTGACTCGTGCATACAGAGAATATAATCCACAACTTAAGGAACAACCAAAAAAGCCTGACTCGTGCATACAGAGAATATAATCTACAACTTAAGGAACAACCAAAAAAGAACCCATGTGGTTGCCAATGACAACATGGAACATTTGAGGTATGCATTTCGTGACAGCTAGGTATAGTTCGCTGTATGCTACCATTATATTGCTCATTCAAAGGCAATTGATGTGTGCATGGGTTATAGGATAACTACATGCATTGAAGTTCACTAATACACGTGCGCACTACCAAAATGTGCATATCAGTTTTCTTCCAAGTTTAAACAAATTCCTAAAGATCCTAGTCCGTGCAAGTAGATCCTAGTCCGTTGCAAAACTATCTAAGCTTCTTGGACAAGGCGAAATCTCTAAGACCGAACACTCTTTCTTACGACGGCTTTGCGACCTTCCTAAGAATATAGGACCTTTATAGTTAGCAGGATGGCGACGGTTTTAATATAATGCAATTTATGATAGTGCAATATGATGCTCTGACACAATATGATGCTCTGATGCTCTAACTCTTGCGTTCCAAACCGTGAGAAGTGGTGCTCAGCAAATGGACCTTTCCCCTTATAACTAAAATTTCGATCTAGACAAAAATTTCATCACAGCTTGAAAGAGCATCATAAAATTAGTAATATTCCAAAGTTTTGTTGCAAAATCTTGTAAAATGCGGATAATATAGCCTTGCGAAGTTTGCCGTTTTTCAGTCATTTTGTATTACAAACGGGAAATTGACATCCGATTCGGGTGTTGGGGCTGCAATTTCCCGTTTGTTAATGCAAAATGACTGAAAATTGCAAACATTGATGAAATATTTGTATAGACTTGCCTAGATCAAAATTTTGGTTATAAGGGGAAAGGTCTATTGGTCCAGGGGAAGCTTTCTCAACTATAAACCCTCTGTCTCGCGTGAGTCAAATTTTTTTTATGTAAACCTTGGTTACAACCGAACTAGCATTCCAAGAAGATTGATATGATTGGCTAATCAAAGAAAAGTTTCCTTGCTATAGCCAATCCTTCAGGCTATTTCTCAATATTTTCTGAGAAAAATGGATCAAGTCCATTGGCATTGCTCACACAAACAGGATGAACCGCTTCAGCTTTAATCTGCAAATATAAGTCAAATTACATGATGCCGACCGGAAAAGGTTTAAAAGCCAAGTCGTGTTATGGACATTTAAATGCTGGGCAAGTGCCAAATTTTTTTATAAAATTAATTAATATGTTTTATTGCAAATATACATAAGAGAAGAATTGTGGATACTGAAATTCGTCCTTGATGTGACATATTTCTACAAATTAACAGTTTGAAAACTCATATCCATGGAGATGGTAATATCAAATTTGAACATATATTATAGGGGGCCCTTTATACAAGCGACTTATAGATCGATCCTACCATATTACTTTATAAGATATGTTCACATCCAATCTAATGATCAAATGCTTGGCCTTAGATTAAGGCAAGTTTCAGTACGATTTCAGTTAGGTCCAAAATTCTTTCATTCGCTGCCAGATGAAATTATGTTTGTGTCTTCTGTGGGTATATTCAAGTCTAAATTAAACTATTATTTCTTCGGTCCAGGAATGGGCAGAAGATGTATCAGTAACTCTTTTGATTGATAGTGAATGCTTTATGTGCAAAACAATTAGCTGTTGGTTGCCAATAACTTATTAATTTAGATTAAATACAAATGTATAGTCGTATTATATGAGATGAGGGAGTCTAAGGCCCCAGTTACACGATACCGGATTCGTATTGGAGCGACATCAATTTAAGGTGTTTTCCAATCTTGTCTGCTCTTGCAACTTTTTATATTTGAAGCTTTTGTTTAATTATGTTATATTATCATAATTTTAAGTGCCAAATTCACCTCGAAGCAGTAAACTGATTTGATGTCGCTCCGATGCGAATCCGGTATCGTGTAACTGGGGTCTCAATTCAAAAGAAGCTTTCTAGTTTCTATTTAATCAGTTAGACTTCCTCGCCTCCAATCAGTTGAAATGTTTGTCTAATTTGTTGTATGGTTTGTGTAAATATCGGTGGTAAATTTAATAAATTCGAATCAAAAATTCGATCCGAAATCGATTCAGAGCCGTATCGGGCCAAGATTCGAAACAAGCTGAGACCCATTCGAGATTAATCCAAACTAGACCATCTTTCGAGAGGTTTTCTCGGATCGGTTCACGTTTTACAACCGAGCTAATTTCTTGCCTAGCGGCCTGGTATCCTCCACCCTTATTAATGATTCATTCAAGTTTTTGGTCAAGTGTGGACACTCCACAAGAAGTCAAGGAACCGGCCTCGGATCGGTTTGAGTCCCTCCAATTTAGATCGATCTCAAAGTGTATTATACCAAGCGTGAGCGGCCCAATACTGTCATGCTATATACTTTAATTTCTATATACAGTGTGGATCATTCGCTTCCACTGCATGAGCGAACGCAGGACCAAGTCCGTAGCAAGTTCAATGTATAAAATTACACATAATCTAGCGCCAAAAGCGTTAGCTGATATTTTTCTACAGACGCCTTCCTCCCAATAGTACAACTTACAAAGCTCTTCCACTAAGCTCTTTTTGCCTCATCCTCACTCTGACTTTCTTAAAAAAAGTCTGAGTTTTAGAGGGGCAAAATTGTGGAATAGCCTCTCAGAAGAGTTCAGGACTAAGGATTCTCTTTATTTCTTTAATACTATAATTTTTACAATGCCTGGCCGGTAATCATATCATAATATAATTGTATTTTTATTTAAATATGCATGGTTGTGTATATATGTAGTGTAGTGTCTCTGATGTAAATATGTTTTTGTTATTTTATATGAAAACCTATGCCCCCTTGGAAATCAGCTTTCTGCTGTAGGGGTTAGCGTGGTTAAATAAAGTTTTACCTACCTATACCTACCTAAGCTTGCCTTTAACATTCCATTGGTCAACGGGTATTCTGTCGGATGATGACTTTGAAATAAAGTCGAAATGCACCAACGTGTGTCTTGTATTAATTCAAATATTGACTATTTCAAGACGAATTATATTCGGAATTTGTTGCTTTTTATATTTTCTGAAATTGTCGGCTGGCCGTGGTATTTGGACAACAGAGCTGTTGTCTGCATATATAATTGTTGGGATTGTGACGATTCCATTAATTCCCCGTTCAAAATGTACTAGTAGATATAAACGTTACTTTTTAAGCCACATATTTTGTTGCTGTAAATTTCATTTCGTTTCTTCAATTTTACTTGAGAAAGATATTTATCATGCTTATCTTTCATGATTTGAACTGAAAACAAATTAATGAATCCTCGCACCTCTTCAAAAGTTATGGGTAGTATCGGTGGCGTTTCCGCTCGTCAATCAAAGTGCAAGCTGTCCAAGTTTACCGCGGTTTTCATCATTTAGCAATAATTTTTCGTAAAATATATTAACCAGTCAAACTCGTAAATGAATGGCAGTGTTCCCTAGGCTTGATATTTTATGAGAAAAAGTTTCGTTTTATCCAGTCATGTCAATTATAACGGCAAGCGTGCAAGGACTCTGATGTTGATGTGGGCTGCGCATATACTGACTTTGTCCTTGTATGTACAGGGTGTCCCCGAGAAAATGCAATAGGTATATGTTCCATATTTTTATACAGCTAATTATTATAGAGTAGGCATCGAAAATTTAATCCAATAGATGAATCTTGACACTAGGATTAATAAATTCGCTCTAGTATAGAACCAATGTCATGGCTGTTTTAAAATGAAATCTGCAGGTTCACCCAATATGTACCATCGGAATCATGCATGCATCAGTTTTGTTGAGTGTATATCAATAGGTTTCATGACTCCTTGCTTTAAAGCCGTATAACATTGGTCTTGCTGAACCAAGTTTATTAATTATGAATTAATAATCTTAGTGTCAAAATCCATCTCATAGATTAAATTTTCGATGGTCACTATAATAGCTAGCTGTGTAAAAATATGGAACATTTAACAAATATAAAACATTTTCCGTGTTGATATTCAGTTATATCAACACGAGTGGAAATTGGGAAAACGAGAAATTGTGTGGAAACACGACGCCCGAAGGGCGGAGTGTTTTCACAGAATTTCGAGTTTTCCCAACTTCCACGAGTGTTGATATAACTATATATCAATACGGAAAAAATTTTTTATATTTGTTTTATAATATAGCAATGTCAAAAGCCCGAAGAATAAGAAAAATTTCCGTGTTAACAAGCGTTAAAAATTTCCCGTGTTGACATGGAGTTATATCAACACGTCTCTTAGCCAATCAGCGTTCAGAATTTACAAATGCTATATTATAAATAGCTATATTGCACTTCTTTCGAGTCTAATTCGAGACACCCTGTGTATGTAGTATATAGCCTGGATGTGTACATGTAATTGTATGACAACTTTATCTCTTAAATAGATCTACAGTATATAAGCAATATACTTATATTTATTTAACTGTTAATATTTTCAAATAATGTACAGTTTGCGTGTCGCTTGCAATGCATTATAGCATTTAATAATTAATTAAAAGCAATTGCAGGTATCTTTAGTGTGTCTTAACTCGATCTGTGATCTCATGCATAACGTCGTAAGTACTTAAATGCAGTAATAATTTGTTCAAATACCTCGTGTTTGCAGACATTATAGAACTTGCATCGTGGCCATGGTCGCCGCATTGTCAGTAGTGTTTAATGTGCAGTGATATACATATATTTAGATGTTTGCAAACATTGCGGCTCTGTGCTCTGCTGTGTCAGGTTCTTTTAATTATCAAACAGGAAATACCACGGAGCTTGGTCAAAACAAACACCTACACAAAGATCTGCGTTAAACTTCAAATCTCATTTCGTGTTTGTGATAGAGTGTGTTGTGAAAGGTAAACAACGTTCGATAGTTTTTCGCACTCTTTGTGCGAGGTAGCAATTGGATGTGAAAAAGTTGCAAATACCGTGTGCAGTGAAAAACGAATTATTATTGGCCACTTGACGGCGCTCGTATAGGAGGCTGAATTTGATTGGCTAGTGGGGAGTCATTGAACCAATTGGTGCCAGCCTGCTATTTCACTTACTCCAATGTGTATTTTTAAACCATTTGCAAATAATCAGGGTATTTAAGGTGACAACAAGATAATGCATAGATGTCATGGGCCGCCATTGAAATTTATGATAATTCGCCAAGGTTCGCTGAAAGTTGATCCGCTTGACCTGCGCGACTCGAGTCCGAGCAAGGCAAAGCTAGCCAGACTTCACATACGACCACAACGCTCAAGGCTGTATACGCAGCTATACTACAACACAGAAACCCCTAAGGCGACTGGCAGTTTTCTACGGCGACCTAAGGTCACATTTCTACGGTATACAAGGGAACTTGGAGGTGAAGAAATCGTATCTAATAACGCTTCGAGACTGCTTACTCTGAAGTCTATATTAAACCATGACTACCGAATTGGACACTGGAAGCTTATGCAATGTGCTTCGTGTGGGGACCGCAAACAAACGGCGAATGTCGCCAGAAGATTTGAGTCCGCCACCAACACCGCTATCACCAGCAACAAGTCCAGCGTTGGTCGAGAGCACGCAAGCCTTATTCGAGGTGAGATTATAGGCCGAGAAATTTACGGCGAATATAGAGATATAGGCACAATCTGTAACATCATAAGGTTTATAATCTGCCAGTATATTGTCATTGTACAGTGCAGGTAAAGCAATGCTCGCGCCTAGTCGCAGGCATGATTTAACATTCGTATAGGGTAAAATAGATTTTGTGTATTTATAGCCGCATATGTAATGCCAGAAATCCTTAGACTATATGACAGTTGTATATGAATAATATGATTTCCGTTTCACAATTGCATTATATGTCTGAACAGAGATTATAATACGTAGAATTATCATAGCATTATATGCATATTTGTATTTCTTAAAATGATACATAGTCGCTAACATCATTAAAAATCTGCAGGATATAGCTTAGTTTATCAATATTTGCGTCAAGTAAATCTTATTATTTTGTAATAAAACCATATCGTAAATTTATCTTCATAAATTTAAGTTCTAAAAGCCCATTTGCGAGGCCTACTAAAATAGCGTGCAGTTCTTATTGAGTCTATAATGAATACATAGATCTCGATACAGATAGCCTAGAACAAAGACTTTACTCTATTCATCTCCCTCCATGTAAAATAGTCTAGAATTGAAATGCATATATATGTCTTTTAAGGCATGCATATTGCTTCACACAGTAAGGACAGTATAAAGTCCATGTGATTTGAAAACCTTATAGTTACAGATATAGCACACAAGTCACTCGATTGTATGTTGATCTGGTAACTCAGAGAACAAAGAAATCATTTGTATTTCTAAAGTCTCGAATGCCACACGCATTTAAAAGAATACATTGACTATATAGTTCTAAAGATAATATATCACTTGCATAAACATCAGTAATCCGCGGTTAGCCACGCAATGCCTTCCTTATCAAGGCATTGGGTACACTTGTAAACAGAAATGTTTCTGTTGACAGACATATTAATACGGGACCTAATACAAAATACCAGATCAGCATTATGTTTAATATATCGTCTTGATGTTTGGCGCACCAATATAGCTCTCTTTGATCTTGACCCCAATCACGAAAATCATAGACGAAACAATCATCGGGAAAAACAAGATATTGTTACTTAAAAAATTGATCGTGTTACCTACAAATCTAATTTGAACTGCAGCCAATGTATAAATCAGTACAAAAATTCTCTTAGAATCGCTAGCTAATTATCCATGTTGACTATATAGGCTAATGATCTGGCGACCGCAATTACGAAGAGTACACAAATATCATTTGGTATTGTGTAAAATAAAATGTATCCGTATTGAAATGTTGTTATAGTGTTATTGAATTTTTTTATGTAAATTGCTGGTTGCAGAAAGGTTCATCAACCAGGTTGAATAACCTGGTGAGCTTAGATCCGCCCCGAAACGGTTGTGACATAATTTAATCTTGCCATTTATTGTATTCAGTTTCCTATAGCGGATACTAATAAATATTTCTCAGGGTTGCAAAGTAAACATCAACAATAGTCTTACGCCCCACGTAGAAATCATCATTTGGTGACGTGGTCAGCTTGCTTAAATAAAGTTTTACTATCTCTATCTATGTCTATTCTATCTAACGATCAACATTGAACAACAAAAGAAAATCACAAAGAGAGCAGGCACTTTCAATATATTTGAGATGGATATACCTTGCAATTAGCGGTGACGTGGCCGTAGTTTGAAGGGTCTTCTCTATAATCCATATGCATCATCTTTGTCTTCTGGAATTTGACGAATGCTTTCAGATATGCAGAAGAAATCTGTTGAGAATATAAGCAGAAAAGTGCATGTGAGATCAAGGACATATAAGTGTACTGTAATTATTCGAGGATGCAGCGAACTGTTTGGACATTGCTCTCCAGGAAGAAGCAAACTTTTCAAGTGCATTAAGGGCCGTTTACACTTGCGATTTTCTCCTTCTGATGGATGTGAACGAGTTATGAATGTTCAAATGTAGGGTACACCCGCCTACTCGCCCACACGCATAAAGAGAAAATCACACTAGCATTCTGGAACGACGTTGCTGTTCAAACTGCGACGTTATTTCCATCTTTTCCACGGCTCATAACCTCGCCAACACTCAATTGTAATAGACTAAATTTTGATCTAGACAAAAATTTCATCACAACTTGAAAGAGCATCACAAAATTAGTAATATTCCAAAGTTTCGTTGCGAAATGTTTTAAAATGCGGATAATATAGCCTAGCGAAGTTTGCAATTTTCAGTGATTTTAGATCACAAACAATTGATGGGTATTGGATGATTTTTGTCTAAACTTGTTTAGATCAAAATTTAGTCTATTTATACGCAAATGGTCAATTAGCCTTCCCCACGCCGTCATTTCCAAATCTGAGATTGCACGCAGTGAATAAGGAATTTGTATAACTATAATTGTGTGTATAATCATTATAAGTTAATTTGCAGTTAAATATTTGAAAAAAATGTTTTCACATCGCTTAGATTTTTCACGTCGTTTTCAAAAAAGTGCCCCCAAAATGGCGAATTTGGCCTTCGTGAATAAGGCTAATTAAAACGTTCGAAGCCGTTTGGGGTGTTTTATGTGAATCCAGTGAGTATCCTAAGGGTTGTTTACAAGAAAGATAAGTACTTTAAAGAGGCTAATAAAGTTTTTAGTAATGTATACTTTGGCTCGAATACAAAAATCTAAGTAATTTTGTTTTCTGTCATTGCCGTTGTCGGTTGCCAAACTCTCTATGAGAACCAACGGATGGTCGTACTTAATATAAAGCCTGGATAAATACACGCTTCCGAAAAGCAAGTCACCTTGGCTATGGAGCCTCCTTTTCGTGATTGAGATTCCAGGATTTAACTGATGTCACATACACAAAAACGAGGGTCCATAGCCAAGTGACCAGGGCCATAGCCACCAATTTGTAAGTGGTACGGTAAGATTCGAGTCCCGAAATTGATTACACTAATAATGATGATACACATCCAAAGAAAATATCTTAATCATAACCATTTTGATCTCCAAGATAAAATTTTACCTATACTGATAATGTCTAACACCTCAAAAATGTTTTTGTTGGTCCGGAAAGTGATCCGGTTGAAACCGGACTACCCACCGGGCACACGACGTTGTTTCAACGTTGAAATTTGGTAGAAAAAAGGTTGCGACGTCGACAACCTAATATCTACGTTGCTCGGACGTTGTGTTACAAACATTGGTTCAACAGCAGCCAACAAACGTTGAATTAACGTTCATTCATGGTTAAATGTACGACGTCGATTTGTGAACCAATCTCAACGTTGTTTTAACGTGGATTCAACGTTGAATTATGGTTGAAGAGATTGGCAACCTAATTTCAACGTTGTTTCAACGTCGAAACAGTAACGTCGATCAATTTGCATAGTCAACTCTTTTTCAACGTCTATCCAACGTCTGGAAGGTCATTTCCAACGTTGATTCAACGTTAGATAAACGTCATTTTGCCCGCTGGGTAGTGGCTTCGGCCCTGGTGACATGCTTTCTGGAAGGGTGTATTAGGAAATATTTTTTCGAGAAACTTTCGAAAACTTTCCGTGTCCCCTCGAATATTTCAAAGTTTGCCCACCACGGAAACACTGAAGTTTAGAAAATACTCTGTATAATGATCTAAAGATGAGTTTTCTCTTCACTTTAGGAACGTAGTCTTCCAGCTATGCCATGTGCAAGCACAACGACAAGTGTGAACCCCGCCTCCTCTACTCTCAATGCTTGTTCCAGCGTCTGCACCACTTCGGGACTTACTCTACAACACCCGCAGGCCCACGATTTGCGGGACATTCTCGCGGGACAACTCCCCCCGCAGACGAATCCGTATTATGCGCCACAGTTTCCCCCGCTTCACTACCAACAACCCCCACAACGTTTTGACTTTTCACATTCTATAGAACACTTTCAACAAACGACACCGTTCGGGCAAACCGCATCGGCATTCCACCCCCAGCAACAGCACCCCGCTCATCAACAAGCGAGCTCGGCGAACACAAATCATAGACTGATAAGACAAAGAAACAATTACAGCGTCTCGACTCCACAGTGAGTCAGTTTAGTCCTGATTTAGTAGTAAATGGACATTTTCAGCCGCACTCGCGAAGGCATGATCCAATACGGTTAAGTAACGAACCTATGGATATATTACCACCTGCGCAACTTAGCGGGCAGAGCACACCACAGGTGAGTTGTTGCATCATACATTATTATTCATCTCACTCCACATTGGGGCTTTTCAGTGACCGATTACATCAAGTATTACGCTTACTTATGTTACTAACTTAGCCTAGACTATTTTCACAACAATTGTGATATTACTTTCCTAACTGTGTTTATCCTAACCCACCCTGTCAACTTTCCCTGTGCGAAGGTGTAAACCACCAAACGTTGTTCCACCCTTGCAGAAATACTTCATACTATTTAACGTGAGTTTTTGAACCCCTGCCAACCCAGTGGATATCAGGGGTAATTGCCCTCTCTATGTATGATGTAACTCTTTGCTGATAACTTAACCATTTCTTAACCATCCCAACCATGGCAACCATTATGCTTCTTAAGCATCCCAACCATGGGCTTACCCTTCCCAATCATGGCAACCATCATGCTTCTTAACCATCCCAACCATGGGCTTACCCTTCCCAATCATGGCAACCATCATGCTTCTTAACCATCCCAACCATGGGCTTACCCTTC